AAACTTCAGTTAACATAGTAACATGGAAATAAGAACTGTATTTTTCTGTATTCATTTTCTATGATATATTATTAGCAAAAAATATATCATGGCAAAAGTTAGATATATACATGAAAGGTAACAAGGAATCAGGTCCCTCATGGTATCTTAAAGGATTAGAAACAGGAAAAATAGTGCATACCCCTATTTAAACCATTGGTAATTGACCTACTTTTCTTTGGTATGGATGATAAAATTCCTTTTACACTTCATTCTCCCACCATCTGTCTTTATGCTCTGAAGCATGCATTTTTAGAAAGAATAATTCAATTTTAAAAAGCACAAGGTTGACAGCCAAATTCTAACATGGATATTACAGCGCTTGAGTGAAAATAATGCAAGTCACTTAAACTTTCTCTACCATTCTATAAAGTAAAGACAAGATATCTGTCCTTTCCATGTTAAAGGAATAGTAGAAAGATAAAGGTTAATGAAAAATAAGTGTGAAAAAGTAAAATCCAGAAAATGAGAGCAAAGTATAGTATGGTTGTCAATATTGTATTCCAAGTCCCATTTTTTAAACTTCAATGGCCATGTCAACAAAACTGGAAAGGGGAACAGAGACATAAGGAAAACTCTACCAGCATTAGGGAAACTCCTGTCTACAGGTAAAATCTGGCCTGGCATTTGTTTTTGTAAATAAAGTTGTATTGCAACATTTCTATGCCCATTTCTATTGTCTGCAGACTTCTTTTACAATAAAATGCAGAGCTGAATAGTTATGACAGGCACTATGGCTTGCAAAGCTAGTCTATATGCTATCTGGCCCCAGTAGAAAAAGTTTGCTGACCCTGCTCCAGAGCACTCAGAGGAAATTCCTTTTCTTACTCACTGTCGTTGACCCACAGACTACCAAGTTGATCCATTAGAGCATGGAAGAAAAATATAAAAACGTCTATGAACAACTAACTTTTATCTAAGAAGAAAACATTCAGCTTCACTAATCTGGAAATGGTACCTTGTGCCATATTACAAACGTGAGGAATCCTGGCAAAACAAAGAGTTCCATAACAGAGGGGCTTCCCAGGCACCATGGCTTGTTCACATGCCCACAGCACATGTGACACACTGCTGTGTTTGTTGGTTAGGTGAATGCTTTAGACATTGTGTTATTTACCTTTGACCGACACCCACAAAATGGACTATATGGCTTAAAATAATTCTTTTAGCAAGGGATGAATATCCTAGTAAGTCAAGTAGGGGCACAAAACAGAAAAAAAAACAACAATATTTTCTCTGCAAGATGAGTTCTTTCAGCCACAAAATGGTTAAATTTTGAAGAGATGTCAACAAAATTAGAGATAAGGGCAAAACAGTTTCTGCCTGATAGCAAGGGGGTGGGAGGGAGAGACAGGGGGCAGGGTAGGTAAGGGAGGGGACGGGGGAGGGGGGAGGGGGAAGAAATGACCCAAACATTTTATGCACATATGAATAAAAGATAAACAAATAAAAGGAAAAAAATTTTGAAGAGACGTCTGTTCTGATTAACCCTATGCATGTGTGTGTATGCCTGGGGGCAAGTGTGTGTGTGTGTGTGTGTGTGTGTGTGTGTGTGTGTAACAACTTTCATCAGTAATCATGCTCTATTAGACTCTTGTCCTTGATCTACTTCTTATTTCTATATTCTAGTAACTTCTAAATTAACTCATAATAAGGAAATCTTCATGATGACATGTCAGATAATGGAAATGATTGGAATCAGTGATTCTTTGTTCCCCCCAATGACCAAAAATGGGGGAATTATTCAGCAAATGTCTCCATTCAGCAACAACATTTCCGACTGGTACAGAGATCCTTCCAGATTTTTTTTTCCCCAATTCTCCTCTTCTCGCCAATCATCATCATCTAGACATATTGCTAGGCAAAATCAATGTTTCATCAACTCTTGGAACTAATAATTTCATTTCAATGAGTTCCTCTAGGACACCTAAACACGGCTTGTGCGGGGTGGACTTTGTAACTGCCCTCTCCTTTCTTCCTCTCATGCTCATTAGAAAGGTGAGTTTGAAGGAACGTGTATCTGCTGGAGTACAGCCTTAAACTCTTGAACAGAGGATCCAAATTAAGAATAATGGACTTAAGAATTCTAATTATGAAAAGAACCCTTAAGGAACTTGGTAAACTCAGGTTTCTGAGTCACTCTCCTGGGATTCTGCCTCTAAGAACTCTCAAGCTCCTGCTTTTTCTGACTTTTACAGAATGTGTGTTGTTATCTTTGTTATTGTTCTCAGGATAGCATGAGATGGTTTATGAATTGTGAGATAATTCTAAACTATAGATATTAGGTAGACTTTAGAGATTGATCACTTTTTGACTAAATCCATATTAACCAAAAAAATTAGAAAATTTGAGGGAGTAAATGAAAAAGATAAAAAAAACACAGTGAGATTTCTATATGGCAAGCACTAAGTAACTTAGATATACAGTTTTATTGATTCTTCATAACAGTCCTGAGAAGTAGTAATCTTTACCCTGAAATACAGATGAGAAACCAGATAGATGCCCTATAACTTTGTGACCTACCCCATCACACAATTAGTAACAGATCCCATGTCAATCTAAATCTTCCCCTTAAACCACTATGTCATATATGTACACTATTACCTGTGTACATTTGGGATAAATGACTTACTCTTTTGGTAACTTGTTCCTAAAGCAGGGAGAGAAACAATACTACTATAATGTACTAGCTGAATTATCATCTCCAATCTTAATAAAACTCCATTTCTTAGAAGTGCTCACATTTATTTTTCTCTTGAGAAACCAAAATGGTACATTTAAGTATCAACACGAAGTTTGGAGACAGCTGGATTGGGGTGTACACTTAAACCCACCACTTTCAGGTTCATTTTCCTTCCATACACTGCCTGGTAAGGGATACATAAGAAAATATCTATCAAAAATCTGGTACTCAGTATATAGTGTGCTTCATTTGTCCTAAATACCTGCCTCCATTTTCTTAGACTGTGATCAGCACCATGTTGTTATGCTCTATAGGACTGAAGAGAAACATCAGTCTGGGTTGAATCAATCAAGAAAAAGATATAGCTGGGGATGAAGTGGAACCATAATATATTGACAACAAACTTCTACCTGGCAGTCAAAGATTCCTGCTTACCAACATGTACAATCTTGGCAAACTTCACTACCAATTTTTTGAGGAAAAGCTTTTCCAGCTAATAAAACAATTACACTTAAGTATCAGGGTCTATTTTAGTATTATTGCATTTGTTAAATCTAACTGAGTCCAAATTACTTCCTCAATGCTAATAAGAGAGAGATGAGGAAGAATGGGGTGAGGGAACTAAAGAGGAGTGAGGTTTGGGAGGGTTAAATGAAGAAAGAAGACATACACAGAGTGACAGAGAGAAAAGCAGAAAGATATCAATGCTGCATATAGCTTCAAGTCCAATAAATGTCAGTTAAACTTGCTGCCCACGGTTTCTATGGCAACCCCTTAAGTTAAGAGTGGAACACAGACATTTTTTGGACTGCAATTCACAAGCTGTTTATTTAATTATGATGAAACATGAGACTGTTAGGGACAATACTATTATCATACTGATAGAATGTAGGAATCAACAAATTGGTATTGCAAAATAAAAAGCTTATTTAAAAAAAAATCATTAACTTCATGTGAATATCATGCAAATAAAATGTGTATTATATTTACAAGACTTCACACATTATTTCCCTCAGGCGAACCCCAAATTAGCCAAATGACATTCGTTTAAAAGAGAGTTCTTCAGAGGCTTCATGCCAATTATGCCCCCACACGCCCAGTGAACAAAACCAAGGTCACAGCCTATTTTCAATTAAACCCAAGATAGCACCAAAGTGCAGCACAACTGGAAAAGCAAGCACATTATTACCCCATAGATCATTTGTGATCAACAAATAGGTCTCCAATGCTTTTCTGTTTTATAGGCATTTGAATATAAAAATAAAGAAAAGGGCTTCAGATTAGCTTTTGCCTTCCAAAATAAACAACCACTTTTAGGGCATTACTCCTGGTGGCCTATGGAAAAATTATTTGAAGTCACCAATTTGTCTTTGATGGTTAGAAATTGTTAGCTTAGCCTTTAATTTGACCACAGAGTACCATCTGAATGATAGACTCATTCATGTCTTCATACTTTCACTATACAAACACGTAGTTTTCTACCTACTGTGTGTCAGGCATTGTGCTAGGGACAAGGAAGGTAAGAGGATTAAAAGCCAGTCCCTTATTTAACTATGGACCTTTTAGAAACATGCGTTAGTCTTGTAAATACATATTTATGGAAGACCAGTAATGAATCATTGGTACTAGACAAAGTAGAAAAGTAAAAATAGGAACCTACCTTCAAGGACATTAAAATTTTGTGGAGTCAAAAAGATATACACTCACAGGGCAAAACCTGCCTGCTGCCTCCTAATCATAGCTCTCATTAGAAAGAATTACCACCCATTGAAACTGTGTTATAATAGCCAAAGGTAAGTGGGTTTATGTGTATTACATGGATGCTTGGTAGAGAGGAAGGAAAGATAGAAAGCTTTAGGATTATGTCCTAGTGGAACCACATTTCCAGTTGTGTCCATGAGCTCCAGTACCCTTATAAAATCTTTAGCCCATAGAGCCCACTTAAGGAGGAAGCACTCACAAGAGAAGTGAATCCCTAGGACATTCATCTCTGGAGTCAAGTTGGGAACATGAAAACTGTTTTTAAATTAAGAAAGAAAAATGTACAAGAAATTTGCAAATATGACTCAGTGGGTATGTCTTTTCTATTATATTGCAGCTTATATTTTGAGATTCAGTAGTGTTTTGCAGTTGCTTGACTTCCCACAAATTGCTCATGCTAGCAAAGCCAGTCATTGCTATTATCAGATTTGACAGTGTATAATGAGCCACTTCACATTAGCTGCTGTTGTGGTGTTCAGCATATTGTGGGAACAATTTAGCATGAATCATCACCCACCTAGCTCTCCATTGGGGTCTCTATGCTGTAAATAGGTAATGTGTTTGCCAATCTAAAAAAAAAAAAGAAAAGAATAAAAAGAGGGTGTCTATTACAACAATTCAGCATACTTCTTGATCTGCCACACCATGACCACAGACACCACTGGTGACAATATTTATTGAATTCTCACTGTATTTTAACACAGTTCTGGGCAGAAAGCCAAGGCAACTATTTTAACCACTGGCCATTTTGAACAATGCATTTTTTAATGCCAATAAAAAAATGCAGTTAGAGTCAAAAGATCTGTAGTCCACACTTGGTTCTCACTTACTAGATTCATGACCTTAAGCAAGTCACATTTTCTTTTTGAACCAATGCCATGATCATAACCACCTTGTAAGATCAAATCAGGCAATGCCTTATGAAGATGGACAGGAAGTAGTTAAACAGAACATTCAAGTAGTAAAGCCAAGTAGGATATTAAGAGTTTAAAACAATCATCTGCTGCAAACTGCAGTTGGGATTTCTTCGCCACATCCCAAACACAAGAAAAATGTATAATCTTTCCTTTCCTTCCCATTCCTCATTCTATCCCCTATCTACCACTCCTATGGCACTAGCAGGATAAGACTGGAATCTAAGAAGAGGGACATGCAGTCCTTGGAACAAAGAGGTGGTGGGAGACATAGCTCCCATTTTGCAGAGCAAAATGAAGTAAAATAAATATTCTTTAAGTCCCACAATTACGGAACTTTACATTCCAAGTTTAGAAATGCAGCTTGTGTAGACTATTCAAAGAGGAAACCCTGATAAACCATAGATGGAAAATCCCACACAACCAGTAATTGAAATCAAGAAACTACATGGATATAAAAATTAACAAGAATTCTATCAGTAATGGAAAAAGAGAGAAAAATAGGGAGGCAGGTGAGAAAATCTTCAAGGAACAGGATGAGTGACACGTGGGTTGGTGGCTAATTCCCACAAGGAAAAGTTAGTAGGTAGAATAGTCTGATGTATTTGCTTCAAAGCTGGACATTTTAGTGTGTGAGGTGGTTTTGTTTGGAACAGATAATTTACATAAAAGTGCTTTTTGAGTTTCAAAGTAATACATTACTAGTGGACATTATTTTTAAACAGGTATGACTGGATAAAATTAAAGGTTTTTAGAGATGATCTGTGAATTTTCTGTCATGAAAAGTTCTTCCAAATCCCATGGCTTGAAGAAACACTAACTACCCTCAGTAGGATATATAAAATATGAGTTATAAGACAAGGATTTATAAAAATTTGACAAAAGGCAGTAGGTAACAAATAGTGTATGGAGAAGGTACATAAATGATAAGTGCAAAAATTTTGGTTTATTGCTAAATCATGTACCAATTCTCAATTCTCATACAAGGGAAAATTTAGTAGCATCTGAAATAGTAGCACTCTGTATTTTCTGAAAAGCCTGCACTGGACTCCTAGGAAACCACTCTCTTGATTTTCTGACCTCAGTTGTCACTCAGATCAACTTTATTGTTGGTTCTACAATGAAACCAATGAAACTCGGAGTACCCTAAGGTTTGGTCAGTGTACCTCTTCTTTATCCATATTCACTATGTAAATAACCCTGTAATAGTTTTAAATGTTCTCTACAAACAGAATACTGACAAACTTAAATCTCTAGCTGCCTTGCAGATGAGTATATATAGTTATGTATGTAAGACATTGACTTGGAGGCATCAAACATTAACTTTTCCAACATGACTTTCACCATAAAAAAGATATTTAATAATTGCAATTACATTCATTGTTATGTGCAACAAAGTATTTAAATTCTTACCATATACTAAGCACTACTCCAAGGGCCATTTTCCTAGTAGTTCAGATTAAAGTCATCCTTGAAACTTATTTTGTTGTTCTCATAATTCTCACCTTTGTACTCTATCTCCTCTACATCTTACCACCTTTACATTCTAACACCTATACAATGGAAATCCTGTATGTTAAGATTTTGGTCACTTCTAGATACCTCCATTGCTACATCCTGGTCCATTTCTTACTTTGGATAGTTGGAGTATTCCATAGCCTGGTCCAATCTCTGTTCTCCTTGCTTCTATCCTTTCCTATTTCAGCCTTCTCTCCAAAGAGTGACATAATCCTATCAAATCAAATAAGACTATATTTTCTCTTGGTCATTTCTCAATGGCTTCTCATGTAACTCAAAGTAATATTAATGTTTTTCTAGTGGCTTATGAGGCCCTCTCTACATTTTTGTTCTGCATCACTTCTACTTCTCTGATCTCATTTTCCTACTACTACTGTCTTACTCTACCTTGGGCATACAGGCTCCTTACTGTTCCTCCAACATGCCAACAACAGTGCTTTCTTGGAAACCTTGTACTTGATGCTTCTTCTGCCTGTAATCTCCTTCACGACAGACCTATAGCTATGTATACACCTTATGACAAAGGTGCACCTTTCAACAAAATACTTTGTTTTTACACTTCTGTAAGAGCTCTGCTAAATATCACCAGCTTAAAGAGTCCTTTTCTGACTATGCTAACCAGCACAACCTCTCTTTATGTTCTGTGCCTTTATTCCGCCTCACATGGCATTTTAACATCATGATAAAAGAGGGAAGGAGATATTGATTGATTGATTGATTAATTTCCTTTTGGTATTTTTTATTTTTTTCTCCTATTCCACATTCTTACTAGCACACATTAGCTGTATGATGTGCATTGAGGTTCACTGTTATATTTATATAAATGCATGAAATACACTTTGATCATACTCACCCCCTCTATTACTCATTCTTATACACCTCTTTTCATTGTTCTTACAATTTTTAAGAATGAGTTTCATCATGACCTTTTCATACATGCATACAATGTATAACTGCCATGAATCATTCCAAAATTCTACATGTTTTTATGAACTTACACAGTTGTGCTTCTTTAACACAATTCACTATTACCTCCAGTTTGGGAAAAATAAGAACATCTATCGAGTAACTATCAACCATTGTGCTACACAGTCACATTGTACTTGACTGCTTGTGAGTCTTTCCTCCTCTTTAGAGTGCATGCCCTATTGAGATGGGCAAGATATTTCATCTGAGTGCATGTAGTCCAGTGGTTGCCACATAGTATGGATTCAGCAAGTGTTTCCTTAATAATGGCTGAAAAAGTTTATTTGGTAATATAGTTTATGTATAGGTAAAGAAATCACCAATGCATCCTGAATTGGAGCTGCCAAGTTACTTCAAACCACATAATGTATTAGAAAGTATCATACGATAGTATCAATTTTTAGGTCAAAATAGTTGATGGGTGTTTTTTAATGATTCAAACTAAGTCTCCGATGAGAGACATTTAGCATAGAAGTGTCTAGGTCGCCAGTCAAGTTTCTCAGATTTGTGGAAATCCCTTTTAGTTTACTGCTAGTTATATAAATCTTTTAAGTAGCAACCAAAGGTAAAAAGAGACAATACATTGATTGCCAACACAATCTTCTAATTTCAAACATTCAGTTTCTGTGGAGAGATAACTAAACCTAAAACCAGAATAAGTAAATTGATTTTTGAGTTATAAAGAGGTCTTATCTATTAATTAGCTAATGCACATTCCACAAGCTGAGAGCAAAGAAAGTATCTGTGTGCTTTGCCATAGACTTAAAATCCAGTACTACCACCATTCGTAGATTATAGAAAGCTAAGGCATTCATACTGCTTCCTCTAATATAGCATCTCAAGTATTATCACTTCTCCATAGTTCTATTCTGACTTAGTCCTTTCTCCTCTGACTTGCTCAGGGAGAGAATTAACCACTTGCTTTTTCCATAACATTCTCTTCATTATATCACTGTGATGATTAAAACTATATCCCATTAATCAGTGCATTGCCGCTGCAGAACTCTGTGTTTGGCATTTACTTGTAAATGGATTTTTAAAATTGAAATGAAGTAAGTATTTATAGACATAGATGAAATTATAAATGCTGCACAATCTCTGTAGCAGGTAGTGGTGTGCTAGTTTGACGTGAGAGATCAAGGTATGTGAGGGTAGGAGAAGATACACGCAAAGTGTTATTGATTTTTAAATAATAGCACCAGGTTGACCTCCTGCTCTAACTGATCTGAATCTCTGGTCTGAAAGTACACATGATAGCTGTGGCCTTTATTTATTTATCTTCATGAGTGTAGTGATGAAGGATGGATCGGGACCAGCAGAGTATGAGTGCCTTAGCCAGTCTCTCCTCACAAGTAAAGATAAATGACACAAAGCATGCTACCATGAATTGTAAATAGTTATTCCACATTTACGCACAGTGGCACAAACACTGTATAGGTCTTTTCTCTGACCCAATTGTGTTTCCTTTTCAAAATGCCTAATAACAACAGAGAACCTAGGGGAAAGTCAGAGGGGATGAAAAATTCTGAAACCACTTGTATGAGACAAGCTATACCCTGTGAGAGGATGTTTCAACAGCCCCTATGAACCTCAGAATTGGATTCCAATGTGTCTGGCTGTTATCATTAAGCTAATATTATAAGAAGGCCACAAAGAGTCCCCAAGGATGCAACACTAGATCACTCTCCCACTTGTGGAAAATTCATCAAGATGTTAATTCTAACAAAATATTTTCAGAGATGTTCCAGTCATATAATGTAGTCTTCCCACTTTATTTTGTTTTGTGATGATGCTCATTTACCTCAGATCACATACATACTTTAATTTCTGAGTCAGGCTAGGACATTGTCATTAAACTTCAAAGCTGCTGGTAAGGTGGACAAGGTATAATGCCATAATCAAGAATGGTACCCCTGCATATTACTCATAGATAATATGATATGGATGCTAGAGTACACTTGGATATAGATAATACTACTGATAGAACACAGGATCAATAGGGTCCCTGACCTTATTAGGAAAGATCTAGTCTCTTAGATAGAATTCACTAGACAATGATTATGTATAGATTATCAGAAAACTAAGTCTTTTCTTTGCCAAAGCAGTTGGAAGTTATAGTCTTTGTCTCACATTGGCTGTGCCAGACTCTCATCTTCCATAGCCCTTCTTTCTAATTCATAA